TGCATTCTTACCAAATGCAGCAGCAACAGTACCTCATTCATTCAGTCTTTCAACCATGAATCGAATCATGTTATTCATTCGTTCATTGATCCACTTCTTCGTTGTTTCTTCCATTCATTTGCAGATTCTATTAGTCTTGGTGTCAACATGCTTGTTGCTGGAAGTCCCCATAATTGATTTGGGATCTTGATGGAGAACTTGCAATTTGTCCCGAAAACGAAGTCGAAAGTCCTGTTTCGAAGCCAAATCAACACAGTGTGAAGATCTTAGTGCTGTCCTGCTTATGTTGCAATTGAGTCTGGATTTGGAGGTGGGAGAGATGGCTTCAATGTGTGCAACAAGCCTTCGTCAAGGATCCATTACGATGTACATTCACGCTTGCATGTGTGCTGCATCGGTTTGCGCATTTTGATGTCGTCTGTTGCTGACGGGGACCGTGGAACCCTGTAAAGCCGTTTTTGAAAATGATTCCGATATATACATGTTTGTGTATATGTAGTGACACCACTTTTCCATGCATTCTTGTATACTTCTCGTGGACATGTTTTGAGGATTCTAGAGGCAGATTCCGCCTTCAATGTTGGTTTTGAAGAAGACTATTTGCGTTTGGCAGCGTGTGGAAGACGTTCCCGTGACGATCCTGTGGCTCAAGTCAGGAACATCCATATGGCATGGATTCAGCATACGTGACCACTGGCGTGGCTTTTCTGAACAATGACGAGCATCTTGGTGAACTTTTTTGGGCTGTATGTTGCTGAGGCCAGAAGATTCTGGGTTCGCGCGCCGCGTGCGCCGCGCGCCCTCGCCAGTGCCAGACTTCATATACAAGCATCTTGGGCTTGGGTTTCTGCAGACCGTCGTTCCGTTGCATCGCTTTGTCTGTTCTCAAATGACCTGCTGAGGCATGCGTGCCATTATTGTGTCGAGTGTGATTCTGTCTGCTTATGCAGATGGAAGCCGAGCGACAGGGCTGCGTTTGGCACGGTGCAACTGGTTGATGCATCAAATCCCAACCTTACAGATCCAGTACAGTTGAGATTCTGTGCCGTACATCTTGCTGCAACGGATATGTCTGTGCTACGGGATGTCGCGGCTTGTTTTCGTTTCGTTGGCTCCCAGAGCATGCTTTGGTTTCGTTGATCCTGGCCAACATTCTAAGGCTGTGGACTTGCACAACGATGCACCGGTCGAATCAGTGGGTCTCTTGCAGGTGTTGCCTAATGAGCTTATTTGTCATTCGATGTCTGTGCCATCGCAAAATGATGGAAGTGATGTCTGCTGCTTGCAGGAGCATGTGGTTTTGCAGGAGCACCTGTCAATGAAGAAGTCGCGTGACATATCAAAAGGCCACCTGCGACCTGGACAGATGGCTTTGCATCCAGAGGTGCGAGAAGCAGCACGTGAAGTAGCCACAGCAACGTTGTCGGGTTGTTCGTGTTGTTCGTATCTTTGCAGGTCTCTGGTCTCATCCAGAAGGCACAGCAAGAGCCCGACGTCACTGTTGAACACCAGTTCCAGACTTACGTACTTCGCAGTGGTATTCTGCAGTCTCAGCCCAAGTTCTCAGGTCGTGGTTCTCCAGGCTTGGAGATGCATTTTGGAGTGTTATCGCCGGCCTATGCTTGATTCCGTTTTCATTGGTGCCTGGCTGCAGTGATTACATCTGCATCCATGCCTCGTCGGGATCAATGCATGTGGGCGCCTTCCTGCAAGATGCTTGAACCTCAGGCTTTGATGTGGATGAACGAGCGGAGAAATGCCCAGCAGGAGATGCGGCACGTCCTTAGCCTGACTAAAATCTCCAGCCCTAAGTCGGGAGCTTGAGGAGAGCATCCTTCAGCTGGGAATGTCGGAGGCAGCTCAGAAGCATCGATCTGGTACATAAAATGAAGTTGCTATGTGTCCCATCTGGCCGCATCTGGCCTTCAGACAGTGACCACTTCAGGATGTTGGCGGGTCAGGGCTATCAATCCGGTTCCCGCTTTTTTGAAGAGGATAATTAAGGACCTCGCTATAATCCTAATATCCTTTTGTTCCGGGTCCTTGTCACAATATCAGTCATCATCATCATTATCATCACCGCTGTCATCATCGTCATCATCATCACCATCGACCATCACCATCACCGTTACGGTCACCGTCACCGTCACCATCCATAACTTGGCCCTGACCTCGCTTAGTTTCCTCGGGTCCATGGTGTTTGCTCCACAAGGTGCAGACCATTGCATCCAAGCTGCTTGGTGCTTGCATTTGTTGGTTTTTCTTGAGAGCATTTACAGGTGCTGTTGCAACAGCTGCACTCGCAGTCCATCCGAAACTGCTGCATCTTTTCATTCCATGGCGACTGCTCGCAAGGTCGGTCGACGAAAAACTGCACGGAACGTTTCTCGGCTCCATCTTCTCGCAACAGCTCTGTTCTGGTCTTCCATCTTTTGAAAACTCGCCCGTGCTGTTGGAGTGACAGGACGAACAAGATCTGCCGAACCTCTGAGACTCAAACTTTATCTGAACTGCTGCAGGTGGAGCGTGAACTGACCTTGAATCGTATAAACCAGACCCCAGAAGCCATAGCACGACAGTTGCAATTTACCAAAGCACTTATATCATTGAAGGTTCTACGAAGCGCAGCACCCCAAGCAGCAGAAGCGATTCAGGTTGGTTCACATGAACGACGCCGATGCTCAGGGTATGGATGAGATGAAGGAGACTCCGATAGATGTTGCCCAGTTAGCTGGAAAGCAGTGTCTGAAGCCCTTGGTCGGATTTGGGACTACCTGTTCTTGCAGGATATGAGCTGGTAGGATGATCCGAAAATAATAGGAGTTTTGACAAATCAGGGTAAGTGGTGGTAATTTACTGGACCACAAGGATACATGAGCATCATATGACATGTAGAAAATCTCAGATCAGCTGGAACTTGCATGAAACGAAATGAGACAGGATTGCAAGATGGTGAGCGCGATCGCCTCACAACACTACTTATTCGACAATTGGAAGCGAATCATTAGTCACAGGTGATGCAGTGGGTCGCAATTTCTCAGAAATCAAGTCTAGTGACAGTAGCAGGCTGAATGGCATTACTTTTGCGGCATTTCGGTGTTTGGTGACCACATCCGCTGCAAACTATCCTATTATCACTACTACTGCTGCTACGACTACCACCACTAGCACTACTACTACCGACTCCCACTGCGACCAGCATTGCTCCCACCAGCATAATGTCGGCAAGCGGTTCTAGCAGCACAGGATCGACGCTTCCCTGCACTTCGCATGGAAAGTGGCTGCCTGAGGTGCCTGGGGGTGTTGCCTGGGTTTCTTTACGGTCAGAGGGACATGCAACAGGGGTCTCATGCTTCGCAATGCTTCGCAGCTCCAAAGGTAGGGCCTTAGTCGTCCCCACGCCAGGATGAAGAGCCGAGTCCAGGTATACCAGTGGAAGGAGACCAAGAAACAGGAGAAGAAGAAAGACTCTTTGGGTGGTGGCGAGACGACGGTGACCCACTATGAATACAGCAAAACCTGGTCTGATACCCAGATAGATTCGACCTCGTTCCACCAGCCGTCGCACAGCAACTCTATCTCCGTCGCCGGACTTCAGTGTGGCACGGAAAAGATCGCCAACACCACGGTCAAGTATGGCGCGGCCAGGCAGAAGATACCAGAGGTTGCCATGACTCGGGAGATGATGGGCCCACATCTCCATCTTGGATTCTGTCGTTACTTTAACCAAACTCTCAAAGGGTTCCTGTCTTTCAGCAGTTTCCAGACATGCACGTCTTTCAGATACAATGTTTACCAGAGTCCACTGTAATTGGCATTTAGCCGCTAGGCAAAGGGCTGGGGATGTTGTGCCCGTCATCACTTTCAACAGCCTTTTCCTGGACTGCAAAGCATTTGGCACTGGCTGGGATCTCCAGAAGCAGGTTTTCTAGAAGGTGTGGGGGGTGTAGGATTGAAAAGATGAGGTGAAGCGTGTTGTCGCAATTGGAGGCTTCTGCTTGTCCTTGTTGTGCAGCGAGCGTGGTGTTGACTCAGGACGGATATTACTTGCCGAAGGATATGGTCGAGCAGCTGGACAACTGGAAAGATGCCAATAGCCAGGTAAAGATTCTGGAGTACAACGGCAACCGATTCGGCAATCCATCGGAAGGGTGGCATCCCGGCAGCTAATCGGAGCTGAGCCTTCAGAGGATGTAACCATCTTGTGCCTCTACAGCCTGCACGAAATCATTGATGGACAAATTCCCATTTCTTGGCATTCCCGTATTGTCCAAGGTTGTATTATCCAGAAAGCGCAGCCCAGTCTCCAACTGTTGGCAGTGTCGCTTGGGAAGCATCAGGCCACGCACCGTTGCAGTCCTCCAAACCTAGCCAACCCGTAAGCCTAAACTCAGAGTCTAAAGTCGAAAGCCTGTCACCCCAGTGACCGAACATTTATCTAAAATCTTGCCCCCAAGCCCTTTGCGAAGCTGATGTCGATCTAAGGTGCGTGTGTGTCTGGAATACGTGACAGATGGACCAGTTTCGATTCTGGCACTGCAGTCGGAAGACGACAAGCATCCACGTGCAGTGCCTAGCCGATTTTTATGTTGTGTCACAGTCATTTGATTTCATAGTCTTGCTCAGCTGCAGTACATACTGCCTTGATGCCCCAACAAGTTTCTACGAGATACCATACACTGCAATTCACTGCATTGGCCTGCTCTGAACATCGCACGTCTTCTGGCTCATCCGAGACTATATAAACTCATCTGGGTTATTCAACACCGTTCTTACCAGGCTATAGACAACTCAATAATCAGCTATATTACACATCCTGTCACTATAGCGGAATACCACGGAAACAGCCTTACCTTTACTTCCTTCTATCAAGAAATTGTAACACCATGCGTTGCGGTGCTGTGCTGGTTCAGAGGTTTAGCCAGTTTAGCCCGTCTCAACAGTACTGCCCTCGCATTCTATCCCGGCCCGACTTCAACCTTGCGGAGGCAACCATTCTACGGGGCTTGCTGTTTGTCTCATAGACCCCGAACCCGAAAGCCCTCTACCCTATGCCCTAAGCCCCAGTCCTAAGCCCAAACCCCTAAGCCAGCGTTCCCGGCGGCCGACTGAGGCCTCTTTCTTGCCATACCGACTGGTCTCCCGAGGCTGTGGTCTGAAAAAACCTCGTAGAGCAAGAAGAATTCCCAAAAAGGCAGTATAAAAAACAAGAGTAACAGAAATCAATGAAATCAACTTTACTAACTATATTGAGAGAAATTGAAAGTCTCATAGCAGTAATCATAAGTAAGGACCAGAAAATTCAAGCATTCAGAGTTTGGGAGATCTGGATTGGCAGGCAGAAAAGAGGTCCCCCCAAAAAAGAGCTTGGGAGATCTTCAGCCACGGGTGCTGAGGCTGAGAGCTCACAAGAACTGAAGCCCTGAACCCTGGAGCTCTAAGCCTTCTAATACTGTATAACATGAACATGTATATATATACACACATGTATCGATGTCTATATATATATACACATACTAGCCTGTATAATATAGTCTAACATAACTCAATATCACATCATATCACCAAGAGCCCGCCGTTTTGCCAGGGCTCTGCTGTGGCCTCCGCGACGAAGCGTTGCAGAATGCCCTTCTTACCCAGGGCCGCAAGAATTCTCAAGAGCTCTATGAGGAGGATTTGGAGAGTGCTGGTTGAGCCGAGGGTTCAAGCTGTCGAAAGGAGTTTCCAAACTGCACATAACCTTCGAGGGCCTGTGTTGGAATTGCACGTGAACAACGTCCCAGACCCGCTTTAAAGATGATTAATCGAACCTTGATCAGCAGCGCATGGAAGCATGGTTCTTGCCCTGCAGGAAGCGTGGACTTCTGGCCCCTTTGCGTGCCTGTGTTGCTGCGGCGGGCTCGGATGCACATTGAAAGCCGTGCTGTTCAGTCTTGTGGTAACACAAGCAAGGATCGCAGAAGTCCATACTCTACTTCTTGAATTTCCTCTTTGTGCATTGTGTTGCATTGCACCACTGGCACATTCATCAGGCAAGCATCGACTAAGGCAATTTTACCCGCTTACCGCTGCAGTGATTTTGTTTTTTCTGTGTGACTGTTGATGCTTGACAGCTTTCTTGTCACTTCAACACCCTAGAACCCTAAGCCCCAAGCCCTAAACCCCCAAACCCAAACCGCTGCTCTTTCCTCTGAGGCTGTAACCTCATTGCGAGGCTGTTCGCTGCTCTTGCGCCTCCGCAGATCTTCGAACCTCGGCGCGTTCTGTTCTGGTTGGGCCTGGAGCCCTGCTCAGGTAAGAAGCGTACTACTCCAACTTCGGGCTCTGCAACATAAGTACAGCGTCGAACCCCGCCGCATAGCCCATTCTACTTAGCCACAAAGCTTCATGGAGACTTGAATCCCAAGCGGGTGCTCGCTCGTCTCCAAAGGCCAAAAGTCCAAAAGCCCTAAATCCTTGAAGCCCGTTCCTGAAGCGTCGAAGCCCAAAGCCCCAAAGCCCCAAAGCCCCAAAGCCCTAAAGCCCTATGGCCCTGGACTTTGCAAGCCTGAACCCTGAAGCCCTACGGCCCCGAAACGCGAAGGCCTCCAGCCAAAACCCCTAGCAAACCTCAGACCCAACGTTTAGCCCCGCGCCTGAAGGCCGCCTACCCTGGGCACAGCCCTGTGGCGGAGGTCTTCGACAAGCTCGCCACGTCCCCGAGCCGAAGTCTGTTGGGGATTTCCGGAATCTGCCTTGCGCCTTTGAAAATTTGGGTTTCGGGTCTTCGGGTGTTGGGTCGGGTAGGTCCGCCAGAACTCTCGTGTCCACTTGAACACTAGGCCCCAAACCGCAAAGCTGAGTTGATTGTATGATATGATACGATATGATGTTACATGATATTTTCTTCGACTCTATTCCACTTGGTTCTATTGCGGTATATTCTGTTCTATTTTTGTGTGATATGTCACCACAGAGTCAGGTCTGGCCTGGTGGTGAAGTGGGGTCTGCGGCTTTTGTCCTGGGTCCTTCTCTACGCTGGCACCTACGCCCTCTTCCAGCCGTTGCTGGCCTCTCGCCAGGAGATTATGCATTATATTATAGTGTACTTCAGGTTAGATTATACTATACAATATATTTTTGTATATTAGATTATGCCTATACTAGCACATTTGGAAGCTCTTGATCTGGGCTGAGGTGGTCCTGGACATTATTCCCTTCATCGGCAATTACATCAGCTCTGGGGCAGGCTGGCTGCTCGGTGTAATTGTCTTCCTAGCGACGGCCGTCCTGGCCACCTTGGTCATCTCCGTGGCCTTCCTCCGCTATCACCCGCTTGTCGGCTTGACCTACCTGGCAGGAGCCGTGACTGCAAGAACTCACCACTCAAGCCACGACGGAATCAGCATCGCTAGGTAGTGCTAGGATATGCAGTTCAGGTGTCGGCATCATCGTTGGCGCGACGATCGGCATCATGCACGGCATTCACATGCTGGCCTGAAGAGGTCGTGTTTAGGTTTCCGTATTTCAGGTCATCAGGGGAGAAGGTTCGCAGACGGCTTGATCTCTTGCACTGGCGGGCATCGGCCGCGAAAAAGGTTTGTGCGTGCAGTTTCGGTTGAACTGTTAAACTGTTGTACTCCTCGGTTCTAGGCACGTGTGGAGCACGAAAGTTTCGTGGTGAGAACATGTTGCACGACGCTCGGATATCTAGCGCAGAACTCACCGAAATAGCAGAGCATCCTGTAAGAATCCAGCATTTCTTAGCGCATCGCCAGGAACCTATCCTCGCTCTGTAGCCCTGAGAAGGCCGTCAAGCACGAAGGTGGAGCCATGTGCTGGGCAAGGCCAACTCCTTCCAGTTGGACACCAGTAGAGCTCCAAGCATTCCGCGTCCGGTAGCGCCAACGGTCAAACATACGGCCGCAAAAGTACCGAGGAGCATTTGCCATGCTTCGGTTTCGTGGCAGCACTGCATGCGCAGGGCGCGATCCGAGGGATGTCCTTCCCCACTCGATCCGTGCTGAGACGCAGGAAACAAGTTTGCGCCATGAGTGGTGGAGACATCAACGCAAGGCAACCAGCCACGGAAGGAAATGATTGGCCCAGTCGTGCCTCTGCCTCCTGATTGTAGAGCTTTTCTTTGGGGGAGGCTGTCACCTTCGGTCCCCGCTCCGGTAGCGGCCACCTGGGCTTTGCACCCAGTCTTCAGGCGAATTAGGAAACGGTGCTGGCCGCATCTGTGGATCGAGCACTTCCAGCCTTGAAGGCCTGTGGCTTTTTGCCGCATGATGGTTTTGGGTACGAGAATCCAGAAGAGGAATAAACCCGTCCCAAAGATGTGCTATGTCGAGTGCATCGCAAGCTTGTCAGATCAGATGCGGGCTGACCGGGCCAGATGGCAATTGACTGTGATCACTGACTGCTAGTCATTCGCAAAGTAGACTCCACATATCCTGCCCAGACGGGACGGTGGCGAAGAGGGTCTACAGCATCAGCTTGCAAACCAATCTTGCTGAAGCGGCCGAAGGACTTCGAGCACGTTCGCGCTGCACGTTAGCAGCCTAGTGCTGCGTGGAAGGGGAGCTGTCGCCGGCGAACGAACGCACTCGTTGCCTCATTCTTCGCAGCTGTCGTTGTTGGTAGCTTGCATGTCTGCAGCTTCCTCCTCGAAGTTCGCAGAGAACCAGGACTTTGGGGTCGGCGATGGCGTCAATGATGTTGATGTTGTTGCAGAGCATCGTCGTGACGATGATAATGGCGACATAGCAGGCTAACCTCACGTCGACCATTCTGTGTTGTGTTTTGTCATGGATGCCTGCCGTTCGCATTGTCTCAAGCGATGGGACCAGGGCCCGCTATTTAGTAAAGTAAGGTCGTCAACATGCTTCACGAAATCTGGTCCTGGCTTTATCAAGATGATTTGGAGCGCTTGCTGTTGAAGATGTGGGCCGTCGGGAGGGATTGAGCTTCCTCCGTTTGGGTTTCGGATTCCTGGCCGAGTGAAGTTGCCATGGCGGCTGCGGCAGAGGCCGAGAGACAGGCGCAAAGGTCTTCAAGGTTTCGCGGCTATGGTAGGTTAAAGAGTGCAGAACACCGGACTTTCGCCCTTCGATTCATGACTTTTTCAACGTATTACAAACAATGGTTGTGTAGCGTTGAATCATGCTTCCTTTGATCATGTTGTTGCAGGAGCACTGGCTGCATCTTCTGCAGAGACCTCCCGATGCTTGAGCTGTAGGAACATGCCTCCTGTGAGGTTGAATGCGCAGGGGATGCGCTGGCGTCGGAAGGAGGCAGCCAGAATGATTTTGTCATGTCCTGTTGACAGGAGAGCGTGTGACAGCGAGTGAGGACATGTGTGATGGAAGTTACACGGAATTGATCGCAGTGCATTTGAAGACAGAAGTTTCTGTGCTGGAGATTTGTTTCTGCCTTGCAAGCCATGGCCGTCGCAAAACCACTCCTGCGTTTTGTAGGCGACACCCTTGAACTTGGGAAGGAAGGTTGGACAGAGCTTGAGAAAGCCCGCCCACCGGTGAGAGTCGTGGTAGTCTGTGGCAAGGGCCGCTGTGGGAAGAGCTGGCAGTTGAACCAGCTCACAGGGACCCGGGCTTTCCACACCTCTGACTCTGTGGAGCCCGCCACGCAAGGCATTGATATCCTGGTACTTCATGATCAGGAGGGGGGCGACGGGAGCACTGTTTGGCTGGATGTGGAGGGAGTCCAGAATGCACTGGGCAAATCGCGTCCCAAGGCAGGCGTCCTCGCGCAGCTACTGTCAACCGAGATCGTTTCTGTGGGTGCTAGCATGTTTGACGATACGAGCATTGAGATGCTCGGGGTGCAAGCAGCACTGCGCAGAGCTTGCCAGGGCAGCACGTTTGCACGGCCGCGCCTTCACCATGTGGTGAACCTATGCAACCTCAAGGGCTTCAAGCAAGAGGAGCTGAAGAGGAAGCTCGGAGAGGACAGAGATGTGCACCGTGCGATCCTGGAGTCCTTCGAACCAGGATCGTTGATTGCGATTCCCTACCTCACCGAAGGCACGTCGGCTGAGATCGAGAGTCTGATCACAAGGCTGAAGGCTGTTCTCCTGTCCGGCTGCCCTGCACAGATCGATGGTTTTCAGCTGTCAGGAGCCGATATGGCTCAGATCGCTCTCGCGGGCATCGAGCAGCTGAAAGCCATGGATGAAATTGACGTGTCGGACACCTTCCACAGCATCTTGCTGCGTGTGTGTGAGACCCATGCACAGGAGGCAACGAAGGTGTATGATCAGACTGTGGCTACTGCAGAAAGCCTGACTCGATTCCACGAGAGCATTGATCATTTGGATGAAGAGGGGAGCCTTCAGCCGGCCCTCGCTGCTTTCGACAGCAAGACGTGCCACATCTCTGAGGCGGTCACGCAGACGGTTCGGATGAACCTTCGTCAGTCCTTAGCCTCGGCCTTCCAGCAAACCAAGGCCCGGAATGAGTCTTTGGCACAAAGCGGAACTTTGCGTGCTCAGCTCCACGGCCAAGAGCTGCTCAGGGAGTACAGTGAGAAGCTCCGGCGCCGCAGTGGCCCGCTCTCTGTGAACTGCGAGGGGCATGTGGACGGCGCTGTCGAGGAGCTCATGGTGAACTTCTGGGAGAAAGTGGCAGAGAGCACCCGGCCGGCGGAATTGCAGCGCATTGGGCAACAGGTGTCAGAGGGCATGGACCATTTATTCCGAGCATGGCAGAAGGAAAACAAGGAGAAGGAACAACGGGAGCAGGTTCTGCTACAAGGATGGGCACGGACTGCCGTGGAGCGCTTGCAGACGGGATCAGAAAGCATGACCTACATTGATGATTTGAGCGCCCTCTTGGATGCTAAGCTCCGTCAGTGCTTGCTGTTCTTCGACAACAGTGCCGAAGGCAATGCGAGGCAGACTTTGGTCAGCGAGGAACGCCAGAAGCTGGAGAGGCGGCTCCAGGAGGCAAAGAGCAGGGCATTGACAGCGAATCATGCGCTCCATGAACAGGGTCACAAAGATTTGCAGCACAAGGCAAAGGATTTGAAGAAGGTGTACCGTCAGCGTCTGCAGGGCCTGGACTTCACCAAGCTCACGGGTTTCAGGTCGCAGGAGAAGGAATCAGTGCTGGAGGATTTCGATCGTTATGCAACTGGCCGGTGCCAGAGAACCTCCATCCGCAGCCTCAGGGAGTGGCTTGTGGAAGCTTTAGATGAGATCTTTGCGGAGATGTACAACTGGGGTCTCTGTGAGGTGCAAATGGAGCGCTGCAACAGCGATGTCGCGGAACTCCTGGAACAGTGCAGGACCGGTCCACTCGGCACTCGCCATGCTATGTACCAAGTCTGGTTCGAAAAGGCCTCGGTCACGGAGGAGTATGTGCAAGCCTTCCTCAGCTCGCGGGTCGAGCCTTTGGAGAAAGCTTATGCTCCTTTCGAGGCACTGAAGGACCATGTGAAGGCTGCAGTAAAACGCTGCAGCGAAGAAGTCTTTGGTGCAGACTTCGTCCGCCGGCAGCGGCAGGCAGCCGCCAATGGCTTGACCACTCGCCGTTGTGTGCACTGCGGCATCGCATACCAGAAGGAAGGCGGTTGCGATCATGTGCGGTGCGGCTTCCTTGACTGGACAGGATCTATGGGAGAGGAGCTGCAGCCACCTGGTCGCGGGTGTCAAGGGAAAGTGTTCGGCTGCGGTCGGGCCTTCGATTGGGGCACTGCCGAAGATGTCACAGATGCGGAGTGGACGATCTTCTTTGGATGGGTGAGGGTTCCAGGCTTTGGCGGCTTCGTTGACAGCTTGCAACGCGGTGGCCGTGCCCTCGGCAGTGCCTTGCTGTCAGGGCTGCGCTTTGTGTTCGGGTCTCAGGCGATGGTGCAGGAGACGGTGGACCGGGAGTTGAGCATCTTGTCGCAGCTGCAGCGCACCTTGGCCGAGGAGCGCCAGGCATTGTCACCAGTAGACCGGGCGCGGCGCTGGAGGCAGCACATTCTCCAGTGGCACCCGGACAAGTCGGAAGATCCGCTTGCGACGCTGGTATCGCAGTTCCTGAACCAGAGGAAAGACTGGTATCTTGGCAGGGGAGATTAGTTCGCTGGAAAGTGGAACCTTTCACTCCAGCTTTCGGTGACCGCAGCTGCTGCTGCTTGTTGTGGTACGAGGGTACGCAGCAGATGTGTGGCCTGAAGTCTTATACGAGTATGGTTGAACCTTTAGAAGCCTCGTCGTGCCTCATCCGTTTTGTACAGGACTTGGTGGCGGCTTGAAGCCATCCCACGTTTCCAGCCGTTGGGCATCAGGTTCCAGCTTCTGAGGTGAGATCGCAGCGGTTGGTGCCATTGGGGGGGCGCAGAGAAATGGGAAGCACTGCGTTATCATTACAGAATGTCAGAGACCTGGAGAAGGCTAGACAACCGACGTCTGTGAAGCATTGCCTTTGAAGCTGCCATGTGTCCTTTCCTGTCTAGGTGTATACACAGGACATGTACAAGGTCATACATATATATATATATATATATACGACGAAAGTGAAAGTATGTATGTATGTATGCATGTATGTTACATATGTATGTATGTATGCATGCATGCATGTATGTGTATAATATATATATATATATATGTAGATAGAGTAAACATTGCAAAATGACACGTGCACACACATGAGTGCGGCATCCGTTGAAGCACTGCGACAGGCAGCCTTCTGATTCTGGGCTCTGTGAAGGCGGCTTCGTGAAGCAGAAGTCTCTTGTGCCTGCATCAAGCACACCCGGACCCTTACTGCATGCGCCGTGAAAAAGTGCAAGTTGAGCAAATGCGCGACAAACGGAGAATCACGACAAGGGAGCTTGCATGGTGCGGACAGAGATGGCTGTGCATGCAGTATGGTGTTGAGCGCACGTGCCACACGAGATGCCGCCATCTCAAGCGATGAGACCAGGGGCCAAGGATCTAGGAAAGTCGTCAACATGCTTCACGGAATCTGATTCCGGCTGCATCAAGATGGTTTGGAGCCCTTCCTGTTGAAGATGTGTCCCGGATTGAGCTGCCTCCTTCAGGGTTTCGGATTCCTGGCCGAGTGAAGTTACGATGGCGGCTGCGGCAGAGGCCCAGAGAGAGGCGCAGAAGTGCTTGAAGGTTTCGCGACCATGCTAGGTTACAGAGTGTAGAACACAGCATGTCTTTGCGTGTTGCGCTTCATTCCTGCTGCAGCTGTGTCTGCATCGCGCTTGTCTCTGCAAATCCGATTATGCTTCAAGCCCTCAGCCCCGAACCCAACCCCGAGTCTTTTTCTTTCTGGTATGATAGTGCCAAGCCCGATGAAGACACATTCCGACAATATTTTCCTGTTCCACATCTGGTGTGGGCGTGCCACTTGCATCGGCTGATGGAAGATGTGTATCATGCCAGCAGCAGATGATATGGGAGAGGCTCAAACCGTAGGTCCAGACCCTCAAGCCAAAACCCCAAATCCAGTACCCTCAACCCGAATCCCACGACATACGCACCTAAACCCCAAAGCCCTACACAGAGAGTTGCAACTCCCGAACAATCGAGTCTTCAATCCCCTAGACTAGACCTGAAGGCCTAAGCCCTGAACCCAAAACGCCAAACCCAAAACCCCTAAACCCTAAACCCCTGAGCCCTAAACCGCTACACCCTAAAGACTCTTCGTGCCCGTTTGCTGGGAATGGAACGCTCCGCATCATGGCGGCAGAGCTCCACGCCTCGGCACAGACCCAGGAAACATCCTTCTAAAGTCTAATATAGGATATATAGGGGCCTTAATAATTAGAATAGGGTTTTGGGTTTTTTTAGATGATAATAATAAGGAACCCTGAAAATAGTATCGGTAACTATTGAGGCCCCTACATTAAAGGAACCCTGTAAAAGAACCCTTAAAGGAACCCTTAAAGGAACCTTCGTTCCTTGAAGGGCTCCCCGAAAGGATCCTACAAAGGAACACTGGGTTGCTGCGCGGGCTGTAGTAGGGGATCTACAGGGGATTAGGGTTTTGGCTTTAAGGTTTTAGCTTGGGGTCTTGGGCTGAGGGTTTAGGTTATATTGTTGGAGCTCGGGATGGTTCAGGGTTCAAGGAGGTGAGGTGGGAGGTTTCCTTACCTCGCGGGTGGGTGGTTCGGTGTTCTGAGACGGCGTTCGGCACTTGGTCGGCAGTGCCCCATAGGGTCATAGGTTGAAGCTGTTTATTACTTGCATGTGTCAGGTCCACTGCTATTTTCATCAGCCATGCATCTGCTATCACCATGATTAACATTCGGTGCATCTGCATCATTACCGGCTGCTGGATTTCCAGTGGTCCAGGGTTTTCTGTGCCCGTGAGACGAACGAGGATCTAGAACGGTGACGTTGTCAACGAGACAAGGTCATCAATGTGTGCAGCAACATGACTAATAGTAGTTAGTTGATGACCATGATGAGCAGAATGGCTCAGCGAAAGCAATGTTAACAGTTTTGCGACAACTGCGGTGACAACACGACCACCATCAGCGACAACACAATTCAGAAACATCATCTTCGACCCACCTCCTCTGACTGGATTGGAGTGTGTAGACTTGTGGGGTAAACTGTTGAGGCAAGAGTGGTAGAATAGCTGGTAAATGCCGCAAATACCGTGTAGAGCAAAGGTGCTGCTAAGGCGTTGGCCAAGTGTAGTTGGTGAGGTGCGTTGGTTACTATTACTACGAAGACGAGGACGACGACTGCTACTACTCATACCAGTTTTCGTGCCAATCGCTGCTGCAACCAATGGTACATCAGCAAGATGAAGAACGACTGCACCATGAAATGCAACAGCAACAACAAGTTTAGCAACAAAGACACTAGGCGCCGGCACAATTGTAGAAACAGTAACAGAAGAAGTTGTACTGCTCAGTTCTTTTGCGAACTGACAACTGTGGTAGCAATGTGCATGTCATGCCGGCAGTGCTTGTCTACCTGTACTGGGTAAGTCAGCTCACACGCATAAGAGCAACCATGGCAAATTTGTTCATCGCAGCAGCATGGCTGTGTGTGGAGGCAGGGAGGACGAGGTGTGATGCAAGGTTGGTTAGCAAAGTAGCAATCAAGAGGACCATCAAGACAAAATGAGCATAAGTTGTCAAGAGGAGAGTCACAGTCATGGTGATAGTTGCAGCTACATTCATGCTCAGAACAGCATAAGTCGTTATCACCATGGCAGCAGGAAGCAAGAGGTAGTTTGGCAGATGTAGAGATGATGGTCATCGTAGCTTCCTATCCAGGAGTCCATCTTCTCTGCGAGTTACTGGAGGCAGCTCTGCCCGGAACTACATGTCGAGGACAAGAGCTTCCAGGTACACGGTTGGAACGGGGACAGTTTCGCGAGAACGAGTTTTGCAGTATGGCGTCGTTTGTGGAGGGTTTCAACAGTGTGGGTGACCTGTGCAACTACCGGCACCACTACAGTTGCTTCTATTGCGGTTCGTGTTGTTGCTGCTGCACTCCTAGTGCTGCTGCTGATGGCACCGTTGCTGCTGCTGCTGCTGCTGCTGCTGCTGCTGATGTTTCTGTCTTGCCACTGCCACTGCCACTGCCAGTGCTAGTGCTAGTGCTGCTGCTGCTGGTGCTGCTGCTACTGTTACTGCTGCTGCTGCTACCGCTGCTGCTGCTGCTGCTGCTGCTGCTGCTGCTGCTGCTGCTGCTACCGCCACCATCAGCCGAGGGCGACGACGACCAGGGCAGATGACGACGACAACGACGCCGACGATCACTTGTCCTCTTGACCACACTCACTGCGGTTGCGACAAGTGGTGAACTGTTCATGACATTGACATCGAAAGATGTCATAAGAACTTAAAGCGTTGGGATGTAAGTTCATGCATGAAGACTCTCGAATGACAAACCGGTGATTGCTTGGCATGAGTGGTAGCAGAACAGACAGCACTTGTGAGAGTCATGAGACTTTTAATGGTGATCAAGGGAGCCTTGCCACCTGGGGACCGTCTAAAGACATCCCTGAGGCCGAAGTTCTCGCACGGGATGGTCGATCCGTTGCGGCCGTGTCGGACTGCCGCGAGGACATTTGGTCAGCAGTTTGGTTGTACCACCATGGTCATCAACATCATCATGGCTGTTGCTGCATTATGACTAGATTCGCTTGCAGCATCGAAGATGGTAGTTCTCGCTGCCATGATCAGCATGACCATAGTGGTCGTCATGCTTGGAATGGTGGTGATATCCCCGACACGAGCGAGGCTCTCAGCCTTAGACTGTTGCTGCCATGATTTCTGATGATTGTCAGCGTCACGTCCGTGTCTTGTTGTAGGAAGAGAGGGCGAGGCTGCCAGGATCGACACAGGGATAGTGAGCTGCCTCTCGCGTGCAGGTCCGTGCCCGCATCCTGGAGGAGGGATCCTCGGAAGCAAGCAGCCGGGGGCTGGTGGTTTCGAGATCGAACGCCCCACATCCTAGATCCAGTATCCTTTCTAAACCTTTTTCGAGAGCTCGCAGGCTGAGGTTTCCCACGCCCTCCCAAGATGAAGATGCAAACCGCTGCATCCCCGAAGCTCTAAGACCCAAAACCTCTAAGCCCCCTCAGCCCTTGTCGCAACCCGTCGCCCTTCTAGAAGCGCTCAATGCTGGAGCCGAGGCTTTGCCGCGCTCTCCCCGGCCCAGCTGTCGTGGACGGCGCCTGTGGGCCGCCTTGCTCAGGGCGTGCCCTGGCAGCGCTTGATCGTCTGCATCGTTCTCTGCAAAGGAAACTTAGGGCTACTTCTTGTTTAATTTTGATACTTAGTGTGAAGACAGGGCTTTACTTCGTGTATACTTTTGCCAAGGCTATGAAGATACTGATACTCGTAAACATTTTCCTTTACGGAACGCATAAATGGGGACTGGGCGATCTGAGCCCGAGAGCGAAAATTCCAGATTCGTATTCCGTGTCTCCCATCAATACTGATGGGAATCTCCTGAAGTAGGTAGTATTATTAGGGGTACCCCTTAAAGGGTACCCCTTCTGAACCCTACTTTTGGCTCTCTTAGAAGGGACCTTATTGAGAGGGTCTATATCCCCAAGGGTCCCCTTAATCCTAACTCCCATGAAGGTGCTGCAGCTGGAGCAGCACGGCTGGCCGGCCACGCGCAACGCTTAGCTCTTGGCTTGCTCGCAACAGGGTGTGTTGGGCTACTGTCTACGAGTGTCTAGTAAGAGCCCTCCGGAGGTTTGCACAGGGACCGTCGATACGTCGAAGCTTAGCTGGCCTGTAAACCGGTTGTGGACCCGAAATGGCTGAATCCTCAACCATTCCTGATAATCTTTACCGCCGTCAAGCTCTGAAGACATTGTGTGGCAAGCTGCCAACCACACCCCAAAGCTCGGGAGCCTTCAGCCCCAAGCCTCGGGGTCTCAGACCCCTTGAAATCCAGATATCCGGCTGAAGGTTCATTGCGCTCTACGACGAAGCCTGGGCTATGGCAAGGCGCTGCGCATCCTCAGGGTTCTTCTTACTGAAACGCTGAACCCTGGGCCCTAAAACCCCAAATCCAAAGCCCTCCTTTCCTGTTCTGATGGGAAGTCACCCGCATCACCAGCTGGAGCTCGTGCCCTACCTTTTAGCACACGGTGTCGTGGCTTCCACGACATATCGCAAGTGGACTGCAGACTCTTCGTACTATTTAAGATTTCGTAATTCCATCTGCTGTGCTTTTAAACTGAACACACACACAAAACTTTGATTAAGCCTTCGCGAGACTCCTCCTCCCGACTCGCACAAGAATACGACGATACAACGATGAGTAATGGTCCAATGGTCCTGCGCATCGAAAGCTCCAGCATCCCGAATCCCTGCAACTCGGGCGCCACAAGATAAAGACCAGGGATGCCGGCGCAGTGATGCGGGAAGCCACGGGCAACAGCACCCGGGATGGCAACAGTGGGCTTTGCAGGGCTTGTGCCAGCAACCTACGCGCCAGGTCTTTGAAGATGTAGTTGCAGGAAAGGAGACGAAGATAATATAATATAATATATTTTATTATAAAATAGTATAATATATTATATTATAATATAGTATAGTATATTATATTAGACTATAATACGATATAGAATATTTTATTATAATATAGTATAACACGGGGTCTACTTGGCAAAATTCCAAGGCCTGTGCATGGACGTGGTGGGTTTCCTGGTGCGCCCTTCGCAGACGAAGGGCTTCTCTCCCCACCGCGACAGGTGCATCGTCTTTGCCTCGGGACAGAAAGGAGCAAGGACTGAGAAGAACGCTATTCCGAGCCGTAACACTAAGAGTGCACAGGATACTCCCAACGGTTTACCTGCTGAGAATACGCAAGCACGAAGAGCTTTCCTGAATTCAGCAGCAGTGGTGGTTGAAGTAGCAGTAGTGGTCACAGTACCTGAGCAGTCGTCGTCGTGGTAGTAGTCGTCGTGGTGGTGGTGCTGGTCGTCGTCGGCATCGCAGTAGCAGTAGCAGTAGGGGGAGCAACTACAGCTTTGGCGTCAGAAACATCAGAGCCAGTGTTTCAACACTAGTAACACGAGTAGTAATCATGTCAATGACAAAGATGCTGATAGTCATAGTAGTGTCAGAATGATCACCATCTTCCACTCTATCATCGGCTTGGTCGGTGATCCAGCCCCCTGTCCAGGCAGCCAGAGGACTGGACCCCAAAGGGCGTCCCGCCTGAGACGTCGGCCACTTTCAAGGCAGCGCCCCGCCTGGGAAAGAGAAATCCCTAGACTTTCGGAAACCTTCAACCCAAGCTCCCTCCCAAGCCCCAAGCCATCCCAAGCCCGAAGCTCACAAGCCGCTTTAAGAGAGAGGGCCTCGGTTTCCTGCTACGGACGGAGCCGAGGATGGCATGGCCAAGTACGTGACGCTCTGGGCCGCACTCACGGATGCCACACCTGAGAACTCCTGAGCTTTGGCTTGCAACAGTTCCTCGGGGCTCTTTGCACTGCGGCTCCTGGGGCCTCAACCCGAAAGCCTCGGAAAGCCTGTGATGACAGGGCTGCTGTTGTAGCTTCGGATGTGGGGGGGGAGGCCAGTCTCTTCAGAATCCCGAACCTCTCCTGTAATCTCCGAGACTCTGCGAGGTCGCTGGGCCTTGCGGTGTGGAAGCGCTCCCCATAGTCACGCGCACCAAAGCAAAGCCATTGTTGAGGAAGGCCCCATGATCTCCAAGGCCACATGTGCTGTAGTAGGCCGAAACATGTTACCGAACTATGCCCAAAAAAGCCATAAAGACAGCAGACAGGACGTGGCAGCCCACGGCAGTAGATAGCCCGGCAAGCTGTTTTGCAAGTCCCGAACCCCTCGAAGGTCTGCACTTCGTGCCCCGCTCTTCGGATCCGGGCCCCTCGGATGCAGGGAGGTGGCTTGGGCGTGTTGCCTCGGCTTCTAGAGCTCCTGCTTATCGGCCGTCCTTGGAGATGCCTTCACAATTTCAACACGGTTTGGGGGGTATATGATATATGATACTATAATTGCGAATCCACGCTAAGAGAGTGTTATGTCCACAGCAGCTACAAGCCAAGCAAGCCAAAAACTCTTGCAGGCTACTCTGCGGGAGATCCGGATGATGGAGACCCGATGCTGCGAATCTTCCAAGACAAGGCCTCGGAAGAGGGTGGCCAGCACGGGGTTTTGTCTGTGGATACACACAAACACGTAGCGTCTCCACACTAGCTTGTTTGCACACTTGCTCGCTCTCTCCCTTTTTGTCCGTCGCTCCTCTGCATCTCTCTTTCTCTATGTTATATGTTCGCAAAGGTATGTGTATGTAGTGTACAGGCAGGCACTTTGCAGAACTTCCTTTGGTTCTGCACCTGGTATTGAAGACTGGGGTCGCCGACAGGCCGCCTTTCAAACCATCCGCAGTGCTCCCGTCGCTGCCGGAGGCACCTGGTGCACCTCCTTCGTCTTTGACTTGGTCTCTCAAATCCTAGAAGGCCCTAAACCCAAAGTTAAAGTTCTGCGACAAGTTCAACCCTCAAGCTCCTATCTGCACGGGAACATGAAAGCTTCAACAAGGGGCCGCATAGCAGGCTTTTTGTAGCAGGATATATACATATCCATGTAGGTGCATGATGTTTGTTGCTGTGAAATGATTTGCCATGTCCGATCACGGCATAGTATCGTTTGCCGTAGTATATGCTGGTCTATTGCAAGTCACACGGTCATGGTGCTGTATAGTACAGTCTAGTATTCTATTGTATGTTGATCCCAGAGACTCCAAAACCCCTTAATTAAGGAATATACTTTAAATCATAATAGGACCCCTAATATGATTTAAGGTATATTCCTTAATTAAGGGGTTTTGGAGTATCACCCCGAGACGCTGACCCTCAAGGCTGAGCCATAAACTGTACGACCCCAAGGAGTCCTAAGATCCTTAAGCACTAAGCCCTGAAGGCCCTACGCCCTAAGGCCCTGAACCCTAAACCCTAGCCCTAAACACATAAATCCAAAACCCTAAACCCCTAAACCCCTAAACCCCTAAACCCACAAGCCCTAAACCCCTAAACCCCTAAACCCACAAGCCCTCAACCCAAAAACCGCAAAACCCCCAAACCCCCTACTGAAGCCCTAGAAACCCTAAACCCTAAACCCTAAACCCTAAACCCTAAACCCTAAACCCTAAACCTAGAAAGCCGGGAGGTTGCACGTTCCACACGCACCGCACCATCCACTGGGGCTCCAAGGGCCGCCGCACGGCGCTGGAGCCTCGGATCGCCCTTTCCTTCGGTGCCTTGGTTCCAAGCCCAGGGTTTAGGGTTTTAGAGTTTACGGGTTTAGGGTTTAGGGTTTAGGGGTTTAGGGTTTAGGGTTTAGGGTTCAGGGTTTAGGGTTTAGGGTTTAGGGTGTTTATGGATCGGGGGTTGGGAGGTTAGGGATGTGGGGGTTGGGAGTTTAGGGATTGGGGTTTTGGGTTTGCTACCAACCGGGAGGATTCTTTTCCGAATCGATGCTTCGGGGTTTTCAGGACTTTCGGGGGCCTTGTGGCCACTGTTCACGGTGTCAAGTGGGACTTTCCGAAAATTTGGGTACCTTATTTTGGGGTCCTTATAATAAGGATCCTATTATGTAGGGTACTATATTGGGGTCCCCTATTCTCGGAAACCTCCAAGTGGCCTGAGGCTCGGGGCTGAGGGATTGGCATCTGATGGCATAAGCTTATTGGAGGCCTTGGGACAACAAGGTTGGGCGTGGATAGTCAGGATCGCAGGCATGCTCACACGAGCAAAGCTATCCGCCCGACGCTCTCGACTGTCATCAGCTTTCCTTTAGCTGCTATGGTGATGGTTTTTGTTTGCACTCCATCAGTCGTCTCACCGGCGTATTTACGTTTGCAGTCGTCATGTTGATCGTCATCACCACGACGATTCCGATGCACTCATTCATCTGTCGTTCATTTCTCTTGCAGTTTCTCCTTGACTGCCGTCATTACTGCTGGAGCTACCGTTCGTCTTAAGTTTAGGTCAGGAGGCATCAATCTCTTCTTTACCCAACTCCCCCCCCCCCCCCAGAATT